GAGCACTGGGATGAGTCCCTGGGCCCTAACTGGGAGCACTGGGGGCGTCACTGGGGGTTACTGGGAGCACTGGGATGAGTCCCTGGGCCCTAACTGGGAGCACTGGGGGCGTCACTGGGGGTTACTGGGAGCACTGGGATGAGTCCCTGGGCCCTAACTGGGAGCACTGGGGGCGTCACTGGGGGTTACTGGGAGCACTGGGATGAGTCCCTGGGCCCTAACTGGGAGCACTGGGGGCGTCACTGGGGGTTACTGGGAGCACTGGGATGAGTCCCTGGGCCCTAACTGGGAGCACTGGGGGCGTCACTGGGGGTTACTGGGAGCACTGGGATGAGTCCCTGGGCCCTAACTGGGAGCACTGGGGGCGTCACTGGGGGTTACTGGGAGCACTGGGATGAGTCCCTGGGCCCTAACTGGGAGCACTGGGGGCGTCACTGGGGGTTACTGGGAGCACTGGGATGAGTCCCTGGGCCCTAACTGGGAGCACTGGGGGCGTCACTGGGGGTTACTGGGAGCACTGGGATGAGTCCCTGGGCCCTAACTGGGAGCACTGGGGGCGTCACTGGGGGTTACTGGGAGCACTGGGATGAGTCCCTGGGCCCTAACTGGGAGCACTGGGGGCGTCACTGGGGGTTACTGGGAGCACTGGGATGAGTCCCTGGGCCCTAACTGGGAGCACTGGGGGCGTCACTGGGGGTTACTGGGAGCACTGGGATGAGTCCCTGGGCCCTAACTGGGAGCACTGGGGGCGTCACTGGGGGTTACTGGGAGCACTGGGATGAGTCCCTGGGCCCTAACTGGGAGCACTGGGGGCGTCACTGGGGGTTACTGGGAGCACTGGGATGAGTCCCTGGGCCCTAACTGGGAGCACTGGGGGCGTCACTGGGGGTTACTGGGAGCACTGGGATGAGTCCCTGGGCCCTAACTGGGAGCACTGGGGGCGTCACTGGGGGTTACTGGGAGCACTGGGATGAGTCCCTGGGCCCTAACTGGGAGCACTGGGGGCGTCACTGGGGGTTACTGGGAGCACTGGGATGAGTCCCTGGGCCCTAACTGGGAGCACTGGGGGCGTCACTGGGGGTTACTGGGAGCACTGGGATGAGTCCCTGGGGGTTACTGGGAGCACTGGGGTGAGTCCCTGGGCCCTTACAGGGAGCACTGGGAGCACTGGGGTGAATCCCTGGGCCCTTACTGGGAGCACTGGGCCCTTACTGGGAGCACTGGGGAGCACTGGGGGGTCACTGGGGGTTACTGGGAGCACTGGGCCCTTACTGGGAGCACTGGGATGAGTCCCTGGGCCCTTACTGGGAGGACTGGGATGAGTCCCTGGGGGTTACTGGGAGCACTGGGCCCTTACTGGGAGCACTGGGATGAGTCCCTGGGCCCTTACTGGGAGCACTGGGGGGTCACTGGGAGGGGGCGTTGTGGGCGGGGCTCACAGGAGGGCGTGGTCATTAAGTGGGCGTGGCCACAAAGGGCGGAACCCCCGGAGCAAAGCCCCCGGGGGTCCCGGAGGGGGCGTGACCAAGGCAGGTGAGGGCGTGGTCACTCAACGAAGGGGCGTGACCACACAGAGGGCGTGGGCGAGTGGGCGTGGCCAAGCCGGGCGGCTCCGGGGCGCAAAAGGGGCGTGGCCCGGGGGGGTCGCGGCGGTCGGGGGTCCACGGGGTGGGCGTGGCTGCCCAAAAGGGGGCGTGTCCAGGCGCGGAGGGGCGTGGCCTCACCATCAGATCCTCCACCGCCACCACATCGTCGAACTCGGGGTCCATCGCACCCGGAAGCGCCGCCGGAAGTGAAGGCGGAAGTGACGGTTTATCCCCGCCCATCCCTCCCTCCCTTCATCCCCATTGGCCTCGCCTCACGGCGCCGCGCTCCGATTGGCCCGGCGGCGCGTGAGCCCCGCCGCCATTGGCTCCGCCCCGCGTCAATCACCGTGAGGGCAGCGCCGCCGCCATTGCCGCCGCCATGGCCGCCTACCGGCTGCGGGTCCGCACCGGCTCCGCTCCCGGCGCCGGCACCAGCGACGCCATCGCCGTGACGCTGGTGGGGAGCCGCGGCAGCAGCGCCAGGACCGCGCTGGACCGATGGGGACCCGACTTCCACTGCGGGGCGGTGAGGGACGGGCGGGGGGCGAGGGCGGCCCAGGGGAGGGGGCGNNNCTTGGCCATGGTGAGGGTTACTGGGGGGTTACTGGGAGCACTGGGCCCTTACTGGGAGCACTGGGATGAGCCCCGGGCTGTTACGGGGAGCAGTGGGGGGGTCACTGGGAGGGGGCGTTGTGGGCGGGGCTCACAGGAGGGCGTGGTCATTAAGTGGGCGTGGCCACAAAGGGCGGAACCCCCGGAGCAAAGCCCCCGGGGGTCCCGGAGGGGGCGTGGCCAAGGCAGGTGAGGGCGTGGTCACTCAACGAAGGGGCGTGGCCACACAGAGGGCGTGGGCGAGTGGGCGTGGCCAAGCCGGGCGGCTCCGGGGCGCAAAAGGGGCGTGGCCCGGGGGGGTCGCGGCGGTCGGGGGTCCACGGGGTGGGCGTGGCTGCCCAAAAGGGGGCGTGTCCAGGCGCGGAGGGGGCGTGGCCTCACCATCAGATCCTCCACCGCCACCACATCGTCGAACTCGGGGTCCATCGCACCCGGAAGCGCCGCCGGAAGTGAAGGCGGAAGTGACGGTTTATCCCCGCCCATCCCTCCCTCCCTTCATCCCCATTGGCCTCGCCTCACGGCGCCGCGCTCCGATTGGCCCGGCGGCGCGTGAGCCCCGCCGCCATTGGCTCCGCCCCGCGTCAATCACCGTGAGGGCAGCGCCGCCGCCATTGCCGCCGCCATGGCCGCCTACCGGCTGCGGGTCCGCACCGGCTCCGCTCCCGGCGCCGGCACCAGCGACGCCATCGCCGTGACGCTGGTGGGGAGCCGCGGCAGCAGCGCCAGGACCGCGCTGGACCGATGGGGACCCGACTTCCACTGCGGGGCGGTGAGGGACGGGCGGGGGGCGAGGGCGGCCCAGGGGAGGGGGCG